AAAGTAAATCTAAAAGGCAAACAGAATAATCTTTTGTAACAGAAATAACTGATCAAAAGAAAAGCAGTAAAACTGACGTTAAAATATTTTTATACCACATGCTGATCCTTGAAGAAAGGCTAGTTAATTAGATAAGAATCAGAAACAAGATGAAAATATATGGAAACTTAAAAAGATGCTACAAGAGCTGTCTAGTACTTTACAGAAGTCTAGTTCTTTATTATAAGTAACTTCAATTATCTTATAGCTTTTAAGATCTTCAAATCATTATTCTTATCCATATTTATTAGCTACCAGAGAATATCTTAGCTGAAATAAGGAAGAAAAAGGAAGAGAAACACAGCAAGGGAGTGAACTACGAAGCCATCAAACTAGAGACAGTAAAGGAAATTGAAAAGGTGAGGCTGAGTTCTGTATGTAAAAGAGAGATGCCATCTTCCTAGAAGGGTCACTGGAGGGAAGAGAAAGAAGTGTAAGTTTCTAGCACATGATACATGTTATTAGGTGCTGGAGTTCAGCAAGAATTAACTATAGCAGCATAGGCTGTGGTTAAGAGACAGGAGGTGCCTGGTTTGAATCCTGGCTTCACCACTCACTAGATGAGTTGACCTTAGGGAAGTTAATTAACCTCTCTTTGCCTCAATCTCCTCATCATCTGTACAAGTACCTTTTCATCACCAGAAATTAGCATAGGTGAGATGCCTATAAGAGTACGTGACACCTATCTATAGCATAATGTGCCACAGGAACACAAAGTGCCAGGGATTTTGTTTTGGGGTAGAGGTCAGCAAAAACTACAGGGGGATGATAGCTGAACTAGATGTGGAAAGATGAAGAGGTCATGAAATGGACAAGGGTGAAAGAACAATTCAAGCAGAGAAAGAAAACAAATTACTGCCTCAGTGGGGTTGGGGAATGGACTAGGTCTGACTTCTAACCACTATGGTACATTGCCTCCTATCACCATGAACATTAATATCTATTTGACACCTACTACACTGCAATACTGCAAGCATGTCCTCTGTTTCCCATAACAACTCTCTAAGTATTGTCATCCCTATTTCAGTTAAAGAAACTCAGGGCCGATAATATTTCTACAATACCATGTCACTTCAATTATTAATAGTTTAGAAACAAAAACAGTTATATAAAATTTGAGTTGCTTATTACATTATGCAGGTAGAAATTTTAAGGTCTAGAAAAAAATAACCATGACATTGTAGGGAAAAAGCATTTTAAGACATTATAAAGCCCTCAGATAAAGTGTCTCCTCCCGAGTTAGATTTCTGAGGCCATCTCTAGCTGAGCACTATGAATGTAACATTTAAGGCACTATGGAAATTCAATTAGACACCCAGTTTGAACTTATACTATGTGTCAGGCACTGTGCTATGACCAGGAGGAGTGGGGCGATGCATGAGAACTCTCTGCTACTTACACTACCCAGTAGCAGAGCATGAAGGGTAAGCCGCCGGTCTGGACCTCCACAGATTGCCCAAGTTCAAATCCTGGATTCCTCACTTATATCCTGTGTGGCCTGGGCAAGTTACTCAAGGGCCAAGGGCCCCGTACCTCAGTTTTATCATCTAAAAAACGGGCATAACAGTAGCTACCACCTCGAGTTTTGTAAAATTAAGAAAGTGCCCGGCACTCAACAAATTTTATTCTTTGTTATGATAATAGGTCAATGTAGAGAAATAAATGACACAGCTCATAAAAACACAAAACAATAACCAAACAATTACGAAATTCAATCAGCAAATGCAAATATACAATATCAAGTGTGGTATAAATAAATGAGTCTTTAGGATATAAGACGTGGTTAGTGAAAAAGGCAGAGGTAAGGTAAGGTACAAAACAAACGGTTGAGAAACTTCCATGAAGATTTTATAGTAGCTAAGTGGGGACAGACAGATGACCTGGCCTGGAGGGCCAGTCAGACGTTTTCTCTCATTAGTCAGATAGTTTTCAACTACTATTTCTAAATTAAATAAACAAAACGAAAAATTTTTAAAGCCACCCAGAACAGGCAGCGCCCTCCAGAACGGCCTCTGGAGCGACCCGATCCCCTCTCGGACGCTAGCGAACCTGGGACCTAGCGCCATCACGAGGGTTCAGTCTCCTCTCTCAACAATTCATTCTCCACTAAGTTGTCAGAATGATGTACCTAAAACGAAAGGCCTTCTGATGACAGCCCGTTGCCTACCGGAAAAACCTCAATTCTTTAGCAAAACACAGAAGGACTTTACACTCTCACCCTATCATCCTACTTTCCCATCGGTCTCTTCTTCCATTTTCCCCGAGGCAACAGACCACTGCATTCCTTCAACAGACAAGGTGATATTCCGTTTTCACATCTTAGCATTGGCTGTTCTGCCTATTCATTGTACTGTCTCTCCAGCATCCATGCTGAGTCGAGCTCCTCACCACCTCCCCTTTTCCAACCAGCAGGGGGACGAAAACCGGCGGCAGCCCGGAGGTCCCTCAGGCCGCCCTGACCCGCCGCCCTCCGCCCCTCGCCCCTCGCTCCGGCCCCAAACCCCGTTCTCTTCTAGGGCCTTCTCGAGCTACGTTTCTTCCGGGCGGGCCCCAGCAGAGCTCAATCTATCCAGGTGCGAAGAGTGAGAGCAGACCGAGCGCCCCCTCCCTGAACATTTAGCTCAGCTCCTTCCAACAATCGAGGCCTGGGTGGGAGCCGGGAAGAAAGGGGCAGTCCGCGGCCTCAAGCCAAGATGCCAGGTAACAGCGTGCCTCTTACCACAAAGACGGCCTCAGGAATCCCCAGGTGGAGCCGCCGCCCATTCCCTGTGGCCATTTCTCCTTTGCCACAACTGTCCTTAGCGGCCGCCATCTTGGGGATGCGAGCGCGCGACTGCCTCCCGGGCCGCCGGCCGCCGGGATTCCGTGATTGGCTTGTTAGCACTTGCAGGCCCGCCTCTCCATGCACATTCATTGGTGCGCAGGGAGGGTCCCCCATAAGCCCCCGTTCTCCTATGGCCGAAAGTAGCCCAACCTGTAGGTGCTCATTGGCTGCCCTCAGGTAAGTGACAAGCGTGGAAGGGCCGCGGAAGAGAAGCTAGAGCGACAGGAAAAACCCTTAGGCCCTCCTGGGAAAAGGGGATTTGTGAGTGAGCGGTGCTAAAGCCCTAGGAATAGGGACCTAGCCTGACCCCACCCCGACCCTAGAACTGGCAGCAGCCTTCACAATGGCCTCTGGAGCGACCCAATCCCCCTCTCGGATGCTAGCGAACCTGGGACCTAGCTCCATCACGAGGGTTCAGCCTCTGTGCCTTTCTGGTCTCACCATCCCAGGGAGCTTTCTGCCCCTTGAAGGGAACTTACTTTGTGTCTGTTTCAGAGTGGTCACTGGCCTCATTCTAATAAATACCCTGCCTGTCGCACCAGCCTTTCCTGAAAGCCACCTTTGAACAGAATGTCTTCTCTCCAGCTCAAACGTTTCCAAAACTTCATAGTCTACATACAAAATCCTAAGAACTCCACCTAGGCTTCTAGGACCGTGGACTTACCCAATGTCATCCTACACTACAACCCTTTAAAAGCACATGTGTCATACAGAACCAAGTAATTATTCCTCGGGCTGTTTTCTGTCCTTTCTCTTCTTTCACTGGAGTGTTTTCGAGTGAGGCAGTGCTTCATCCACTTGCACAAATTCTACCATGAGCCTAAGAATTATGCAACGGAAAGTAAGTCTCTCTTCTCAGAGGCAATCACTGTTACCGGTTTATCTACACAGATAATGTACGATCAAGCATATAGACATAGATATGTCCTTATATATAATATGAGGAAGAAATTGGTATCGTCATATTGTGAATGAGGAAACTAAAGCTCAGTGAACCTGTACAGCTTCTCCAAAATCCTACAACTACATAGTAGTGAAGCCGGAATTCCAAACTAGTTCTCCAGTGGCTTCTATGCGATTTGGCTTGGGAGGATGAAGACATGTTAGCTAACCATGACTCTGACTTTTTCTGGTCAGCAGCTTTGTGAGATAATGTCTCTGTTCCTGGAGAGAAAAGTATATGGGAACTCTATTCTTCACCACTTTCCCCCACCTCAATGCCTTCCAAAAAATTTTTTTGTTTTGGAAAAGTAGGTAATGTTTCTACAGAAAAACATTGAAATATCAGACACACATGCAAATTTGGTTCAACTTCACTGATCCCTATCTATATGAATCATTATTAAAACTAATCAAGGACTTACTTCAAACTTTAGGAAATAGTTCTCCAAATTATCACTAATTCTAATCTGGAATAAATCCCTCTAAGAGATATATGATTTGACACTTCAGGCCAGGTTTTTCTTTTGGAGCCAAAAGCCTTATCAACTTATCACTCGTGTTTTACTCCCTTACAGGTACAAACAGAAGATTCCCTTATTTATACTGCTGAATGTATTTCCTTTCTAGTCTTCTCTTAATTAGAAAGTTGTATACCAATTCTTTCTAACTCCTCTATTTCCTTCCTGCCATGGCTACAGCAGCTTTTCCAAGAGTACACTAAGCTTATCAACTCTATAGGTGGTCATTTTCTTATCTCTTGGCAAAAAAAAAAAGAAAGAAAGAAAGAAAAGAAAAGAAAAGAAATTTCTTTTGCCAGATCCAAATCTAGCTATTACCTGATCTTAAATATGATTGATCTTTAGTAACCCTTCAGTAGGCCACACTTTTTACAGCTTATCTTTAGATTGCTTTAGTAAAAGCATTTTTTAAAACAGACTTTAAAAGGTTGTAGTTTTTCACCATGGACACTTTTGAAACAAAACAAAACAAAATGTAAAGAAAATATGCATACAGCAGGAAACAGAACAACTTTAAAAAAATCATTTCACATAGTGTTGTGCTGATAAATGTTCAACTAATTCTCTTTAGAAAGGGGGTAGGTATTTATTATAAATTGTATTGATATAAAAGGTGTATAGCACACAATTTCATAAATGATAATAAAATATACAATACTCTTTATCATAAATTCCGTATAACCAATTCTGGCAGGATGCTTTTGATTTTTGCCAAATACATATCTCCCTAGACAACCTATAGTTGCAATTGATGAACTAGTGTAGTTCTGACATAAATGTTGGTTGATATATTCATTTATGTTAAGTAATAAAAAAAGTAATTCAACAATTATTTTTATATTGGTACTTGGATCATTCGTCAACAATGTGAGTGACTTACTTGCTGAATTGGATAATGGTTTTCAAATACCAGAAAAATATTGCCTCATTTTTTGGTGCTATTCACAATAATGGCTACAGACACAACTCACTTTTAAGCTGAATCTGCATTAGTAACATTTTCTCCATTGCTTTCAAGTCTAGAGTTACAAACATAGATCAAGCCGTAGTTTGTAGCATCTACCAATTTCTGTTGCGTAGATACTCTCGCAATGGCTGATTTCAATCCATGTCGAGTTGGGAAGACATGCCCAGTAGCATACAGATAAAATCGACGTAAATAACCTCAAGAGCACAGGTAACATTCAAATGTCAAAAAATAATTAGAAGGTGATAAATTTTGAATATTTATTACCTTTGCTTTTAAAATAATTTAATTGTAAATTTTTATAATTTAATTTTGAATGATGACTGTGTTTAACAACCATCTTGCAGAATTTCTAGAAATTTAACAATTGGTTCTCACAAGCTGATACAAGCCAGCTCTAGTGCACCACTGGCTCATATTTTGGGAAGCCAGAGTTTAATGACTTCAGCGAATAGTACCTGCAAATGTCACACTAATGTGCTCTGCAGAGAAGGAAGAAAATGATGTGATATGCAATCGGAGTTCCCTGGAAGAAGAGGGTGATATCCTTAGCAACTTCCATAACTCAGAGGACCAAGAGCTGACTTAAATTTGTACAGCTGGGAACCCACAACTCTCACTCCATGTTTGCTCTGTGCAGGTAACAGGTTCTGTCCCAATCTCCACAAGCCTCTGAAATTACTCCGAAGAGCTGCAAATCCTGAGGCTGGGGGAATGTGTCTCCTTTTTCCTGAGCCTGGTCACTGGGGTCATTTCCTCTCAGGAAGCCCACTGGGAAAGAGCCCAAGGCCTTCAGAGAGATGCCAAGCATTTCAGGATGTTCTGAGACAGCCTCTGCTCGACCTTCTGATTCAGTTTCTAATCCTGACTTCTGAGAGCAGAAAGTGCAGTTTCCCCTAGGTGCTTTGGAACTCCCCTGGAGGGCTCTCAATTGTGATAGTGCTCCTGCATGCTAAGCTGTCCCAGCCTCTTGGGGCTATTTCCTAGTAAGTCAGAATACATGTTTCTTCTATTTCCAGACATGCCAATGGGCCTCCATACTCACTACCCTGGGTTGCTGAATGTGCTGGTGGTGTTCTCACTGTGTATTGTTATTGTATCTTCCGTGTTTTTGTTCTGTTTATACAAGAGAGGACAAGGTAGGATTTTCCTAGACAAGGTAAAATGTGGCAATGTGATTTCCTTTTTCCTGGGACTGACGTTATTTATCCAAGGTGATGTGGAGAGGTCCTTTGTTCCAGGCAACTAACCCTTCTGCAACCTGACCCCACCACCTCATCAGCCAGAATGATGGCCCTGGGGACTCCCAGACATTACCCTGCTTTATTTCCAGAATCCATTCCTAGGCTTGCCACTGCGTAATAGGCCCTAGAACCTGGGTTCTAGTTTAACCCTGTCATTAACAGGCTGTGCCTCATTAGACAAGTGTCTTCACCTATCTAGCTCAGTGTCCTCACATGTGAAATGTGAGCTTTGGACTAGAGGATCTCCAGACTCACTTCTAGTGCTAATACATTTTGACTACGACCTCTGGTGAGTCATCAGGGCACTAGTATTAATTCTGCATCCCATGGTTGTCACTAAATCCCACTGGGTCCTCCGGGTTCCTTCCGTAACTATGCAGTTCTCAATTTAGAAAACCTGATCTTGGGCCCCAAGGTGAGTAATTACACCCCTCCAAATACCTCTGCCCCTATGTCCACCCAAGCTCTTCCTTTCCCACCAAACCCAATAAAAAGCATGGATGTAAAAAGGTTTGAACTCTGCTTTCATGTTCCTGAATCTTCTTTGGGCCGGACTCCTCAGGCTACACGAAGACCTTCAGTATAAGCCATGGTAAATTCCCAGTCACAAGGTTTCCTGGATAATAATTGGGAGAGATGGTGCATTCAGCATAATGGTTAAGGCTAAGAGCATGTACTTTGCAGTCAAGCTTGATTATTTATTGGCTATGGGATATTAGGTTAGTTACTTTAACAGTGTCTCAGTTTTCTCCATTGTAAAATAACCATAATAATGGGGCTTTGGGCACATATTATTAAGTAGATTGAATGGAATTACACATATAACATACTTGATACTGTGCCTAGTACCTAGTAAGCCCTCAATAAATTTCAGCTACTGTCCTGATAATTGAAAGGCATGGATATGGCACAGAATAAGAAACTCAGGGGTTTGAGACATGAGCCATAACATGTCATGATAAAGGCCTCATGATGGGGAGAAATCACACAGCCTCCTGATAGCATGGGAGATCTGCAGGATCCCTCAGATAGACATCTGTTTTAAATCCCTCACAGCCTCCTGGGGAGGAAGAAGGGCTATTCTTCACATATATAGATAAGAGAGGGCATTCAGTCTGGCTCAGGACCAAAGCTCCTAAAACATTGGAGCCCCATGATATTGCACAGCTCACTGGGCCTGCTATTTGTGGATATGTTGAAATGCCTTGAAATATGAAAGCCCAAAAATATGACCAACTCTTTTCAACTTGACTCTAAAATGTCTGATGTCAGTACCAAAGAAAAAGAGAAGCTGAGATGAGTGCCTCTATCAGCCTATAAATTATTAGGGGTAGGGACTTGTTTCTCTTGCCTTTGTTTCTCTGGGCCTCACACTGAGCCTGATACATAGCAGCTTTGTCATTATTTATTGACTGTGTGAATCAATCAAGCAACAAATGTTTGTGGAGCATGTACAATGTGCTCAACATTGAGGTAGTGAAGATAAGTTACACTAGAAGAATTCGATGCAGTGTATAACTGGAGATAATAAATCTAGTTAAGAAACTAAGACACTCACATGAAAAACCACCTAGCTGGGCAAGACAGTCAATGCTAAGTGCCAGAGACACTAAGTGTAGTGGGAATCCACCTTGCATGGAAGGCCTGCTTTTGCCCACACATTGGAAAAAATTATGGATTTGAAGCCAAGAAACCTTGGAAGTCATCTCTCTTAGGGCCTCCATTTCCTCTTCCTAAAGAGGATTTTGGAATTGCTAATCTCTAAAAAAATTCATCACCTTTCACATATTGTAGTTTCTGTTTACAGATGATGGCTCAAAAATAACGGTGTGTGGGCACATTATAGTTTCAAGAAAGCCAAGCCAGCAGAGACCAGAATATTTGATGAAATTTCCCATGCCAAGGTGAGCTTATGTTACTCAGGGATCACCCTCCCCGCCCAAGACAAGAAATCATAGGCAACCATTGCTCTTGCTGTTGCCTAGAGAGCAGCTACAGCAATTACATGGTGGGAGTCTGGAGACTCTGCTCAGGAAATCCATTTTGGCAAAATGATGCCACCCAAAGGATTATAAATCATGCTGCTATAAAGACACATGCACATGTATGTTCATTGCGGCACTATTCACAATAGCAAAGACTTGGAATCAACCCAAATGTCCATCAGTGACAGACTGGATTGAGAAAATGTGGCACATATACACCATGGAATACTATGCAGCCATAAAAAAGGATGAGTTTGTGTCCTTTGTAGGGACATGGATGCAGCTGGAAACCATCATTCTCAGCAAACTATCGCAAGAACAGAAAACCACCGCATGTTCTCACTCATAGGTGGGAATTGAATAATGAGATCACTTGGACACAGGAAGGGGTCATCACACACCAGGTCCTATTGTGGGGAGTGGGGGAGGGGATAGCATTAGGAGACATACCTAATGTAAATGACGAGTTACTGGGTGCAGCACAGCAACATGGCACAAGTATACATATGTAACAAACCTGCACGTTGTGCACGTGTACCCTAGAACTTAAAGTATAATAATAATAATAATAATAAATAAACTTAAAATGAAAAAAAATGATGCCACCAGCCTTGCTATGAGAACAGGAAGGAAGTAAATTGTCACTCCATTTTTCTCATTATCTAACACCTGAAGCTTCGTCAGTCCTCCTAAAACAAATGTTCAGGTATCAGGGGGCTCAGCACATCAGTTGAAGACTGAAAGAAGAAACCTTGTAAAGTCTTCTAGAATACAATACTCTGAGACAGTGGACACCTGGATCATGACACTCTCCCATACACTTCAGCTATACTCCCTCACATTACCACTGCCTACTTCCACTTCTTTGTTCAACCTATTCTTCCTGCCTGTAATGCCAAACTTCTTCTATCCACTATACATCTACTATTTGAAATTTTCTTTATCATTTAGTACTTGCAAGCTTCCTTTACTAAATTAATCGTTCTCTTCTTTGAGTTCCCATGGTGCTTTGTACTTCCCTCTCTGCGTATATGTTTATCTGGAGCATCCTTTCTCACTCTGTTAACTCTGTCTATTTTTTTTTTTTTTTTTTTTTTTTTTTTTTTTTTTGAGACGGAGTCTCGCTCTGTTGCCCAGGCTGGAGTGCAGTGGCGCGATCTTGGCTCACTGCAAGCTCCGCCTCCCGGGTTCACGCCATTCTCCTGCCTCAGCCTCCCGAGTAGCTGGGACTACAGGCGCCCACAACCGCGCCCGGCTAATTTTTTTTGTATTTTTAGTAGAGACGGGGTTTCACCGTGGTCTCGATCTCCTGACCTTGTGATCCGCCCGCCTCGGCCTCCCAAAGTGCTGGGATTACAGGCGTGAGCCACCGCGCCCGGCCAACTCTGTCTATTTTTAAATATTATCATTAAACTTAAGTATCAGTTCTCTGGTAAGTCATCCTTGAAATCTCCAGACTGGGTTAGCCATTTCTCCAATACTAATTACAGTTGGGTTTGTCGAATGAATAAACAAATGAATGAATAAAAGGATGGCTGAATAAATATAAGAAGCAGTTGAGGCTTAACAACACAAGTTTATAAAGGTCTGTACCAGGTCTGCACAGTTCGGTGTCTTTCTATGATGATGAAAATGTTACAATTAGGCTTTCTTCTATGAGAGACCAACAGTACACAAAAGATGGCTATGTTGCAAAACTCCATTATAACACTGATCCTGCCTCCACTGATTGCCTATCTTTGCCAAGGCGCTTAGCAACAACAACCCAAATGTACCTGATGTTCTGGGGATGGAGTGGAAGGACTACTGGTCCTTAGGCCTTGCTGGGTATGAACAATGGGTTGAGGTGCCATTAGAGAAGAAGCTCCCAATGGAGTTGGAACCTATGAATTTTAAAAGAAAATAAACAGTTAAAAATTAATTAGTATTTAATTGCTCTCCTAACATAATAGTACCATGAGAACAAGTAGCCCCCTAAAGTAAATATTATATTAATATTTAATAAGCATCACCTGAAAGGAATGCGAAATGCCAGATGCAAAGAAAAAGAGGAAAATGTATTTGTGAAGGGGCTGCTAGTGATAAAGTATGACAGACCAAAGAGTGTGGAAAACCTAAAGAACAGTTATTGAAAAGCAGGGATGAATTAGCCACAAAGTAAGGCCTACAAAGGACTCTTTACAAGACAGAACTCCAACATTTCAAGGCCAATAATACTCATAGGAAAAAGAAAGGAAGTTTGTAGGTGGACATGGAACGTGTTAAATATATACTGGTATGTATGTATCTTTCATGAAATACTTTAGTATGAACATATGACTTGATATGGCGATCTACAGGTTAAATGTGAAGGATGTATAGAAATTTGCCAGATGAAAGTAGTGAAGAAAGGGCAAGCACATCAAGTCAAGGAGGTAGGTGGAACTAGAAAGGCATGTGACATCTCTTTAGTTTGTTTTACTTTTCTAGTTACTTTATGAGCTCACATTTTAAATTATATTCAAAAGATGAAAGAATGGCAATTAATGAAGAACAAACTAAGGAGGTTGCACAGACCCATTAATATAAGACTGTGACCATCTCCCTCCACTGTTTAAAACCATTAAATGGACCCTCATTGACTATACATAGTGTGTAAACTCCTTGGCATGGCTTACCAAGCCTACTTCTTTCTCATCTTGATCTTTTCCCTCACTTCTCCCTCACTTATTGAGGAAATATGGGCTTACTTAAGAACAACTGGGTAAATTAGAAACTGTTCGAATGACTCATAACCAAAGGCTAAGGATTAATGTGTTGACCTGCTGGGAGGCTTCTGGTGATACGCTGCAGGGTTATATTCTTAATCTTCTTGTTCATCTTTATCTATCAATGGAAATGTTGTAGAGGACATGTTCACTGAGCACGTGAATAACGTACCCATTGGAAAGGATAATGAATACATTAAATATAATCAGAAACATTAATTTTCTTGACAGACTAGAGATAGGGTCCCAAATGAATAAGATGAAGGTTAACAGAGTCTTGCACTTGGATCTTAAAAAAATACCCACATATATATATAGAATGGGTGAGAAGTGAAAATGAAGTTAAAAGAATTTTAGTTGATAGTAACATTTAAGTTTTCCAGTCCTTCCTTCTGTCTTAGCCCCATCCCAGCAATTTGGAAGCAGTTCCTAGCTATCTGCAGTGTGCAGGGATGCCACTTCTGCAGTATCAAACAAAGGGCCTAAGTGAGCAAGGTACCAAGACCTCTTGCCTTACAAACCAGTGCTGCCTAGAAATCCTTGAAATTGCTCTTGCCTGAGGATGAAGATCTTGGTCCACTTCTGTGATGTTATCAGATAGTACACCCTGGAATAGCCCCATGTGGTGACTAGACCGAGCACCTAGTCCTTTTAGGAAACCTAGGTGAATATGCCTCCTTCAATTCACCTGGGTCCACAGTTATTCATGCCAGAGGAGTGGGAGTCTCATTCTGTAGTCAAGTCAATGCTAGGGTCTACTTTATACCTGATTCCTGTCAGCTTCTCTCCCTGGGAAATGGGCCCTGTTCTGTTCACCATTATTTGGAAAGAATCTGAAATAACCTGGCTCTTTACGTAGCCCTTCATAGTTTTCTCTGCAACCCATACTTTTTGCCTCAAGCCCTGTTATACTAATAAATAGACTTTGGTTACTGATGCCTAACCTGGAATCTACCACACTCCTTTGGCACTTGGACCCTGACCTGTGGAGTCTCTCAGTTCTACTCCTTCTACCTTAAATTCCTACTAAGTCTATTTTTTCTGGGCTTGGGTTCACTCATAGTTCTAGCATATATGCACACCTAGTGTCATATTATACTCTAATCCTCTTCTGGAAATTAACTGGCACATACAGTATATTATTATAGAGGATGTAGAGAAGTCCACAAACAGGACTCAAAAGAGATATGAGGTAGGAGGAAAACCAAGAGAAAATGGTGTTTCTAACTCTAGGAAGGGAGAGTGTTTCCTCCTCTCTCACTGGCCACTCCTGTTCTACCTCTTTTGCAGGTTCCTTCTCATTTCCCTGCCCCAATGACAGATGACCCTTGGGCTCAGTCTCCAGTCACCCCTAGGTGATCTCATCCATTCTTTCTCTCAGCACATTCTTACTTCAAGGCATTTGCACTGATTATTCCCTCTCCTGGAATGCTCTTCCACTTGACTTGCTCCTTCTCCTCTTTAAAATTTCTACTCAAGGCTGGGCGCGGTGGCTCACACCTGTAATCCTGCACTTTGGGAGGCTGAGGCAGGCGGATCACAAGGTCAGGAAATTGAGACCATCCTGGCTAACATGGTGAAACCCCGTCTCTATTAAAAGTATAAAAAAAATTAGCCGGGCATGGTGGCAGGTGCCTGTAGTCCCAGCTACTCGGGAGGCTGAGGCAGGAGAATGGCGTGAACTCGAGACGCGGAGCTTGCAGTAAGCCGAGATCACGCCACTGCACTCCAGCCTGGGTGACAGAGCAACACTCTGTCTCAAAAAAAAAAAAAAAAAAAAAAAATCTACTCAAGACTGAGTCACCTTTTCAATAGAGTTCCCACAGATCAGCCTATTTAAAATGGAAACCTACTCCAATACCCTTAATTCTTCTTCCCTGCTGCAATTTTCTCCATAGTACTTGTCACCTTGTTTATTTATTTCTTCCCCCCACTAGAATGTACATCCCGCAGAGACATAGGTTTTTCTTTCTTTTAATTATTTCCATATTTCTAGAATCAGAATATGTGCTAGTTGAGTGATAGGAGAGAAGGACTGAGTAAGACAAGGACAGAGAAGTAGCTATTCGATTAGGTCACATGAAAGTCATTAGAGACCTTTATGTTAGCAGTTTAGTGGAACAGTGAGGATAGAAGTCACATTAAAGTGAGTTGCAAAGTGAACTGGGGAGACAACCTCAATGTCCTTTAATACAAACATGGGTTGTTCCTGCCTTACTTCAAGAATATATACTGAGTAGCCCTATGCCTAGAAAGAACTAAGCAAGGCAAGAGTGTCAGGAGATGGGAGCAGAGAGGCAGCATGGAGGATCTTGGCTTTTGCTCTGGGAGAAATGGGGGCAATTGCAATGAAGTTGGTTGATCTGACTTACACTGTAAGCCAATCACTCTGGCTGCAGTGTGAAGAAAACTGTAGGGAGCAAGGGCAGAAGCAGGGAGCCGAGGTAGAAGGCTACTGCAGTGAACCAGGTGAGAGAAAATGGATTAGGAAAAAGTTAGGATGCATTCTGAAAATAAAGGCCATTGCATTTGCTCATGAATTGTATGTGGAGTGAGAGAAAGATGTATTAAGGAGGATTCCAAGGCTTTTGGCCTGAGCAACTGGAAGGATGGAGATGTCATCAGCTGTGATTGGGAAGGCTGCAAGTAGAACAGCTTTGGGGAGATCAAGGGTACAGTTTTGGACACGTGCAATTTGAGATGTGTCAGAAACATGGATATTTGTTATCCTCTGCATGTTCCTGTATATTTACCATTTTCTGGAATGGACCAACAGTAAAAACAACATGAGCAAATTGGTGTATGGCTGGAGCAACTAAATGTCTTCAGAGTTTCCATTACCTGTATTGTATTGCATAAAATATATGCAGTGCACTGAAGCTATAAATAGAACTAGTGATTACAAAAATATTTTAACTAAGAAAAATTTTAAACCATGAAAATATTGCCAAATAGGCAGAATATAAATAATAAACTAAAAATGAGTTAAAAGAAGGTTAGAATCAGAAAAATTCCAGATATTCTATCTGTATTAACAATTTCTCCCATTAGAAGTTTTATATGATAACAGCAAAATCAGTTCAAGTTTTTAAACCTGATTGATATAGACTAGAAGTGATCCCAAACAGCAAAATAGCAAATAAAACAAAACAAAATGAAACAACAATAAAATCCTTGCAGAAGGGGAAAAAAAACAGCAGCAAACAGTAGTTCATAACTCTTGGGATAAACCAAGAATGTAACCTAAACTAAATTATATTAATACTTGAATCTCTATTATGTGAATGTTGGTAATTCCTATTTTGGATTATCTATTAATTCTGAAACAGCTTTCTCTTGACTATTCCACTTCTGTACATCTCTTTTTATCCCCATTTCCAGGGTTCTTTTCTCTATTCCTGTTAGCCATCTCACAAGGCATGTGCTTATTATTTCTCAGACAGCTGCCATTTTTTCCAATGCAAGAAAAGAATGTGGATGGATTACTTTCCATTTAAAAATAACTGTATAATTTTTTTTTCTGTTAGTAGTTGTAACCATATATCCAACTCTTGATATCTTAAAAGAGGCTTTTCTGGCCAGGTGCGGTGGCTCACACCTGTAATTCTAGCACTTTGGGAGGCTGAGGCGGGCGGATCACCTGAGGTCAGGAGTTCGAGACCAGCCTGGCCAACATGGCAAAACCCCATCTCTATGAAAAATGCAAAAATTAGCCAGGCATGGTGGCAAACGCCTATAATCCCAGCTACCTGGGAGGCTGAGGCAAGAGATTCACTTGAACTCGGGGGGCGGAGATTGCAGTGAACCGAGATTGTGCCACTTCACTTCAGCCTGGGCAACAGAGTGAAACTCCATCTCAAAAAAAAAATTAATTGTTTTCAAAACCCTTCCTTATGGTTCTCTAGCAAACAGCTGCACAAGATAAACAAAGTGAATAATCATACAGTATAGATGCTCTGTGCAGAGCCTAAATAAAACAAGCTACAAAATTGACAAATTCCTTCACAAACCATTTCTAACATAATGCATAATCCAGGTGTTACACCACAAGGTCCCATAGCTTTGCAAATCATTCGAATTTGATCTTGATCCCAGGGTGTTTCCAATCTTGTGATATAGTCTTTCCACTATATTAC